CGGAGAAGTGGTGCCTCGATGCGCACCCGGGATCCGAACCCGGGCCGCCAGCATCGCAGCGCGCGCACTTAACCACCAAGCCACAGGGCCGGCCCTGGTTCATTTTCTTTTAAACCTAAATGCAGAACTTTGCTTTTAGGCTAGAAAGATTTCCCCTTGTCAGTTTCAGTTGTCATTTCCACATGCTTTAGCCCTGTAACACTCCCCTGCTACTCTGGAAGTTTCATACAAAGGAGCTGATCTGATTCTCGGGTTATTTTGTCTCCTCCTGGTTCTCTGGAGCACGTGGACTCTTTTTTTTTGTTTTGTGAGGAAGATCAGCCCTGAGCTAACATCCATGCTAATCCTCCTCTTTTTGCTGAGGAAGACAGCCTCTGAGCTAACATCTATTGTCAATCCTCCTCCTTTTTTTTTTTCCCCCCAAAGCCCCAGTAGATAGTTGTATGTCATAGCTGCACACACGTGGACCCTTTTAAAAGTGAGTTTAGTTCTTAAAGCTGTGAGCTGGCTGTACCACAGCTCCCTCCCTCTCCACCTCCAAACCCATGATTTTCTCATAGGGAAAGCCATGGCTGGCGCCATGGCTTAATGGTTAAGTGCACACGCTCCACTGCTGGCGGTCCGGGTTCAGATCCTGGGCGCACACCGACGCACTGCTTCTCCGGCCATGCTGAGGCCGAGTCCCACATACAGCAACTAGAAGGATGTGCAGCTATGACATACAACTATCTACTGGGGCTTTGGGGGAAAAATAAATAAATAAATAAAAAATTTAAAGACAGGGAAAGCTAGACCAGGAGAGCTGTGTGATGGCTGATACACCTGGACAATTTGTTTTATGACCTGCCTGGCGCTAGCGTGTGACCCTCTGATCTAACCCAACCTCATGTTACATGCAGGGACCCTGGGGCCCAGGAGGAGGAATGGACTAGAACCCAAGGCTCTGGGCTTCAGTTTAACACTTTTCTTAGTTGCCAGCTGAGGAAGACCCATCCTGGATCAGAGATCCCTGTCGCCCACACCTCCCACCCTGGAGAAGGGCTGTGTACTCAGCCCCTTACAGTTGAGGCTGAAGAGGGTATTGCTTTACTAAAGACTCTCTGATTAGGGACCGTTAACTCCTTCCCGCTTCACTGCTCCCTGGCGTGGCCACTGAGGCAGCCCAGACCAGAGTTCCGTCTGGGTTTTATGGCTGGACCAGAACTTCCATTTGACATGGCTCCTGGGGCACCATGGCTGTGAGCCGGGGAGTGGTGGCCAACGCCGTCTCCTCTCCTGTCCTAGAGCTGCAGGTGTTTCTCCTGGCAGCCTGGGCGGGGAAGGCTTTCCTCAGGACTTCCCTGGCATTGGAAGCCTTAGAAATCCCAACTTGTCAGCCTCTTATCAGGAGAGGACTCTGATTACCGATTTCCTGAGGAGAATCTTGCAGAAGGTCAAAGCCTAGACATTAGCAGTCTCAAATTATGGGGCCTGCTTTTCCCTCTTCTCCCTGATAAGCCATGAGTCGGCCTCCGGAGAAAAAGAGGAGGATAGGATTGATTTTGTGCAAAGTCAAGCTTATTCTCACCTAATCCTTAGGCAGTTGCAAATTGATGTCAAAAGAAAATCATTTCTAGTTCATTACTAGATACAATGTAAAGTTCACAAGCTATATGGTTTCAAAATTCTTGTCCTTAAAAATAATCCTTACTCTGAAGACAAGGTGGAAGGGGAGGCAGTGTTTGGTATCACGTTGAGTGGAAGCAATTGAAAATTGCTTTGGTTTTGATCTTATGTTGTCCTTAAGCTTTTAAAAGTTTTGTGATTTTGCAAAATTGGGAGTATATAAAATTTTTTTTAATTAAAAAAAAATCGCCCTGTCTCATCAAATGCTTTTGACATTTTGATGTATTTCCTTTCAGACTTTATCGGTTTTTATGGTGAAAAAAATTTTTTAAATGCAGGATTGAAATTGTACATACCTACAGTGTTTTATGCCATCTCTCATTCCTAAAGCTTCTTCCTGTATTATTCTAAATGCTTCCCATGTACCTGCTGGGATGGCTCACTGCTCCCTTGATCTTATGCTGATTGAATATTTAAGTCATCCCCCTCCCCCCCCCTTTTTTTTAATTAAGTTAAAATTGATTAAATGCTTGTCAAGTACCAGGGGCTGTGGTAAGCATTTTACACATTACAGTCAGTTCTGCTGTCAGGTAAGTATGCGCTCCTAAAAACCCGCAAGCTGTGCAAAATCATGCAATAAAAACCAGAGGCTTGGGGCCGGCCCGGTGGCGCAAGCGGTTAAGTGCGCGCTCTCCGCTGCGGCGGCCCGGGGTTCGCTGGTTCGGATCCCGGGCGCGCACCGACGCACTGCTTGGCAAGCCGTGCTGTGGCGGCGTCCCATATAAAGTGGAGG